CCTCCCAGACGTCCCCAGCCTGACGCACTCACTGAAGTTGCAGACTGCAGAACATAATCTGACACTAATCAGTAATTTTTAAAGTTGCTATTCCATACGATTGCCAGATTTTTGTCTGGGACTTAGCAGGCAGATACACACACTCGGGTCTATCTGCCCTTTGCATAAGTCATCTAAGTAGTCAGCTCACATGCTTTCAGACACCATCCCACCCACGACGCTGCAGAGTGTCACAGGCAAAATTCCCATTATCCAGCCACCCAATCACCCAGGAACACCAGGTAAATGTTCAGAGTCCTCAAATCCCACCTGGACAAAGCATCCAGAAAGAGGGAAACCAAGAATGAAGAATTGTTCTAATATTTAGTATTTGTTTTGTCTAAGACCAGCTAGCATGGCAACAGTCATGCTATAGACTGATTGACTAACTTTCTTAATAGTTTTCAGAGTAATGACTACCATTTCGTGTTCAAAAAACCAAATAATTCCAAGCTGGTAAAGCTGTCTAGTTAATATTTTGAAATTTGGTTTAAAAATTATTTTTCATTCAGATATTTTACTAAAACTTAGAGGAATGATTGAGAGCAAATTCTTTGGGAATTTGTAAATGTTTCGGTTTATTAGATTCAAAGATATGTTTACAAAAGTTTTTTTCTCATGTTATTGAGATTTCTTGTTTTTTTTTTAAGCCTGAAAGTTTCTTATCATGAGCGAAGCCCAAAACACAGTAGAAAAATTGTTTCCCACCCAATTCCATTAAGGATGCAACATAATGTAAGTAGCCCCCCCAAAAAAAAGTTCTAAAAAACCATTTATATCAGAAACTACTGCTTGTGCTTTTGTTTGCTTCGGTGCTCACCTACGATTTTGCAAAAGCTGTTTAAAATGCCTTAAGCCAGGGAAAAAAGGACTGGTGAGAACGAATATTTACAATGAAGATCGTAAGAAGGGAGAATGATCAAATCCCACCTTGCTCTGGGGAGGGACCACCCAAAGGGTTTCCCCTTGGCCGTTTTTCTCCACGTGCCGTTCTCCCCGTTGGCAGAGGCACGACAGGCTGACCCAGCTGAGCCCCGTGCCGAACGGGCTGGATTCCACATCGTCAGAAGTGACCAAACAAGCCTGACCAGTGCTATGCGCTGAAGAAACCACCAAATGAAGGTCAGAGATTTCCACTATACCTATCTTAGCAAGTGCTGTGGTGCAGCAGAAGTGGGTTTGAAGAGCAAAACAGCTGAGGATGAGGACCCCACATTCATGTGACTCATTGTCTGGGGGGTCTCACTTCAGAGGAGCTGAACGCTGGTGCTGCGTGCCCTTTAGCAGCTGAAGCACTGCAGGCTCCTGGGGCGCATCCTTCGGCTTCACATTCTCAGAAAGCAACCCTGTGCAGATGCTCCGGGGCCACTTCACATACAAAGTGTGCTACACGGGGACAGTCAAGAGATTCATTCCCAAAGCGCACTCCTGATCCAAACTCCATGTTAACATAAACACTCCCATTATTAGTTAAGGACAGTAGAAATTTGTGTATCAGGCTATACTTTTAAGAGCAAACCTGAGTTTCTGGAAGCTCTCCTTAAGTACCCTCAAGGTTACCTGTAACTACTAGGTCACACACAGGGGGATTTTTTCACTCCAAAAAGAAACACGGCCCATTGACATCAGACTTTTTACTTGGTTTTGGACAAGTACAGAAGGTTGGATTCACCTCTGCACTGATGTCAAGCCCAGCGCTGCAGCCTCCCCTGCCCAGGGATTACCAGCACCACTTGCAGTTTGGCAAGTGACAGAAGCCAAGGAGCAACCAGGGCATTAAATACCGTGCCAGGCTGGACAACGCACAGTAAACCCTAAGCATCAGGGGCTCCCCTGTAAGTACTGAGCCAGCTCTGTATTCGGTGCCTAGATCCCTAGGCTGGAGCCCGAGTCTTCGTCACTACTTTATATTGTCTCAAAATAGCTGCAGAGCACCACTAAATCAGTGCTGGTATGACTAATGTGCAGAGAAGGTTTCAGGAAACTTTAAGCAGCACTTCAACATTTATCTTTCCAGATCTCGTTTAACACAAATGAGAAGGAAAGTGCTTAAAAGGGGGAAAATTGCAAGCGACCAATTCCAGTTGCACTTTTGTCCCTTGCCAAATGAAAAACTTAACAGGACAGACTTCGTTTTCAAGGCATGAGGAATGTGGAAATATTTACACCCATAGTATCAAGACATCAGCCATGAGGTTCAAGACTGCAGGGCCAAACAGACTGAGAACACGTTGAAAAAGGCAGCACGTGTTTCCAAGGCAGAGGAAAATGTGTATTATTGCAATTGTTAGTAATAGCTGACCTGAACAGAAAGAAATGCTTTGGAGACAGCCTTAATCTTTGGAAAGTACTACACCTCAGTCTCAGGAACATACAGAATCTTGGGCCCTGCACAAGCAGGTGCAACAAATTAGAGAGTGGGTTTGCTCTAAACGCACAGAAAAGCCGTGCAGTCCCCGAGCACTACGAACTGCCCTGCTTGCAGGCACCTGTTTATCTGGGGACCCAAAATAGGGTCAGCAAGACTATGCCTCTGTTCTTTAAATGAAGTGCTATGTCCTTCATGGCATTAGAGTAAGAAGCTAATGATTTCTTTTAAGGACAATAGTTTTACAAAATCTGGGTACTCAAAAGTCAGCAAATACCAAAATTAAAGTTGGTATCGCAACCTAAGTAATATCTCCCCATAAATGTGTTTTAAGATGTTGAGTTCAAATTTCATTTTTGCTTACTGTTTCCCAAATAACTAAAAGTTACACAGCTTTATTTTTTGCAGTTGAGGGTGTCAGGCAGGGAGGCATTAAGTCTGACAAGTACTGCTGCAATTCAAAATGAAAACATAGAATTTTCAATTGCAAAATGACTGGCATCAGGAAACTAAAAGGTAGCATAGTTCATAGCAAATGTGGACAGTTGCTGCTGTTGCCTTAGAGTAGTTTTCTTCAGGTAAAAATCAGATACTAACCCCACTTATGTCTTCAACAAACTTCCATCTTCAGTTATCTCGCTTCAATCTGTAGCAATTTACCTTTTTTCCTCAGCATTACATCTTCTAATGCCTCTACTGACAACCATTAAAGGAACCTCAAAGTTCCCTGCCTAAGTCTGTTGAGTTCCTAGAAAGCTAATTTTTTATTTGGCTTTTCACTGCCCAAAAAGTGGATTAGAAAAGTCATGCAAAGAGGCTTGGGACTAACACATCTGCTGACTAGCTAAACCAGAAAGCATAGAAGTAAAACTGAAGTCAGACAGTAAAAGAGCTGAAAAATGTGAAATTTAACAAAACAACCCCTGATTTGGGGATCAGAATTCATGTTGATTTTTGTAAAAGGAAAAGATATACATATACTTTTTTCTTCTTTCTCCTTTTTAAACCAATTCATCAGCATACTTTGAGCAGAGAGCTATTCAAGCTCAAGGAATGGTGGGAAGATGTCTCTAATACTTCAACTATCCCAAGACTCAGAGGCATGTCCCACAGTCCCCACACAGAGTTAGTGGTTTTTTTAAACTGCTGCCAAAACATAAATATGCAGACCAGCTCCAATGAAAGGATTAAAATGAAAAATAAGGTGTACAACCAGCAGCCAAAGCATCCAAAATTAAGTTTAAATGCACATTTTTTCCCCTTTGGGGAAACACGGCTGGCCTCATCAATGAAAACTCTGAAGCTAAAAGCCCTCTGATATAAACACGAGAAGATGCTCATACTTCTTTTTTTTTTTTGACAGTCCCCTTGAACCCAGAACATATTTCCCTGAAAGTCAACAAACTTGGTGCTGTCTGACACAGGTCAGGGTAAGGCCTGTTAAAATGTAAGGCTTGTTGTACAGCAGTTGAAGATTTGCATTTGGGCTGCTACTTCTAAGGCAATAGATAACCTGGGATATCAAGGGTACTGCAAAATAACCTGAGAAGCGAAACTTTTTAATTGTATGTCTTAACCCTTTGAATCTGAATTACTTCTAGAGATGCCTAGAGCTTAGGAAGGCATCGTAAAACTACATATGGATAAACAATGCCATTAAACTTACTTTTAACATACCTTTAAATAGTATATTTATTTCTTCACTGTATTTATACACACATGCACTTTGTTTACAGAAACTACACTATTAAAAGTTTAATGTTTAACTTCCCATATCTCACTGATTTATGGTAGAGGATGATGTCCCAAAATGGGTGATTTAGGGCATATATGACAAAAAAAGTATATACTTTGCCAAAAGTTACTGTATAAACATACTGGAAGGATGATGTTCCAGAATCAGTGATTTGGGGCATATGTGATAAGGAAAAAAAAAACCACCCCAAATTCTTTTCCAAATGATGCTGGAGGCATGTCATTGACCTAGCCAGATATTTTTAGAACACAAGTCAGCTAAACTTCAAAGTCTGCTTTCCTGGGATATGAGGATGAATTGAACACAGAGAGTCTTTTCATCCTCTTTCAAGCTTATTAATCTTGTTACTGAATATAGCACTTCTTAAAAAATAATATTTCAATGCTAAATTCAAAGATCAATCATCCATTCCAGAGACATCCAAATACACACTGAGACATCAGGATTATTTTAGCATCTAAAGCAGAAAACATCACTATGTTCTCATGCAGTACACTGTCTGCTAAATAAAATGTGAACAACCTGCCAGGTACACAGCGCAGCTAGGAATTGCACCCTCTGTAATTCTGCGCTGTTACTAAACCTAAGTTGCAATTTTTTAAAATGAAGAAAACCACCAATGTGAAAAAATGACATTTTCACGTTCATCCATGCTTCCCATAGTGAGTGATACCATAGATGATTATTAGATGACAAAACATTTTCCACCTACCATTACTACAGCTTTTCTGCCCCTTCTATGAAAGGGTAATGATTATGACTTTCATTTTTCAGACCTTCAGCTCAACGTTTTTTCTGGTCTTTCTCGTAGACTGAACTCTCTCTCATAGCACAGACCTCATGAAAAACCATCTCTAGAAGGCACAAGTCCTCTGTGCACTTAACGTAGAGGTGGACACACATGGCTTTCAGGTACCGCAGTGACTTGGAGGGTCTAAACTCCACCTGTGCGCCTTTGTCTCTCGCTCTCTGGGCACTTCTTGGCATTTTTGAAGGCTCAGGGCCAGCCATGGGGAACCGCCAGCCACACAGACCAGAGGGAGATTCAGGCTGTCACCATCCAACAGGCCGAGCACGATGACGCTGACATACAGTGACAAACCAGAGATTACCTCCCCTGTTGCAGCCTAGCCACCGAGCGGAAAGCATAGAGGGCCTGTTAGCATTGCCGTAAGGGACTCATAAAAAACCAGTCCCTGCTACACGTGGGATTCAATATCTAGCAAAATAGACTTTCATATGCAAAGCTCCGTTCTGCACAGAGGAACGAGTGAACTTTTCTCTTCCCCCTTCAGCAAAAGCCCTCTCTCATTCTAATGAGGAAGGCAACCAACCTGCCCCGCAGAAGAGCTCTGTGAAAGTGTTGAAAGTGTTTTTATTTTGTTTCTGAGGGCATTAGCACTGCAGGTCAGAGTTGAAACTCATGTCGTTTGAGGGGACAGCAGTGGCACAATGCTTCCACGCAGCGACCTGGGTATTTCCAACTTCAGGGCAGCAGAAACCCCTGATGCTTGGCATGGTCCAGCACACTGCAGTGGGGCAAGAGGGGCGGAGGAGACTTTTTAAAATGATTGATAGCAGAATCCCACAGGGACAATTAAGCAGGATCAGGGGGTGGGGGGAGGTGGTGATTTTCAGCTGAGGAAAGCTGCACATCAGCACAGCCGTGCTGCAGTTCTGCGATGAACCCCAGCAAGGGGGGATTCCTCCTGGCCCATCACTGCTCCACGCCGCTGGAGCCAGTGGGGTCATTCGCAGGGACGGCACCTTACGCCCGCACGCGTGCTCACACAGCCCAGTCAGGCTGCTAACCCCAGAGGCTGTGCCCCCCACTTACTGGTGTGGGCTTAAGGGCCTAAGATGCAAACCACCAGGTGCACAGGTGCCCACCATCAGCACCCATCAGACCAGGGCCCTGGGACAAACACAGCACGTAACCAGGTGCCGCGAAGCATCCTCAGGCCCGGAATAGCACGGGGAGAATTTTCGCCGTGGTCATGGTCCTTGTATCACCTTGGCTGAATGGAAGGACAAGTTTTGGAAAGCTTAGAAAGAAAAACTACAGTCTGTCAAGTCTTCGTTGTTCGGTGACCCAGTCAGCCTAACATTGTACGTACGCCATGCTGTTGCAAACAAGATGGAACCGTAAACGTTTGCTATTCCTGATTCCTTTGGTGTTCCCGTATTCATCAATCATGGCATAGAATACCTCATAAAAGGAAGCTATCACTATTCATGTGCCTTCTCCTAAATTAATAGCTTATAATTAATTATAGGCCTTTATTGTTTGACTGTTCTAGTGTTGAGCAACAGATCTCTTTTTTGCATCAAAATCTGTTTCTGTTAAAAAAGGAAAAACTGGCATGGTTAGATGTAGGGGTTTAATCTATAAAATGATGTATTTCTTACTCAACTTTAAAAACAAACAGTAGTAAAAAGCGACGCATAGCACCAGCCACTCTGCAAACAGAAGAAAGCAAATAAATCTCAATCTTCTGTTGATTTTTACCAGCACGTCTCTGCTGCCCTGGTTTCTTAGAGCACGGCTCAGCCTCCTAATGGTTTGGTGCAGGCTTTTTCTGGTCAGCACAAACTTCCAGAGCTAACTTCCTCGTTGCTGAAAGAATGCAGGAAGGCAGCAGGTGCGCGCAGGCTTGAGAGACAATGAAAGGTGGCGGCGGGGGAGCAACGTTTTCCGCCTGTGAGGAGTCAGTTTAACTAAGAGCCGATAAACAACCAGACAACACCACTGCCAAAGATACATTACGCTGTCAAACTTGCTCGCCGGTAAGACCGCTTTCCTGTACGCGTGCCTGTGCGTTCCCCGTATCCCCATACACGCGCCTTGCAATTCCATCAGGCACTTGTACCAGGCTGAAGGAGGCTTCCGCGCCTCCCTTCTCCGGACCTGCAGCCACACAGGCAGTGCCTTCACGCAATGATTTCTTACGAGAGACATCGCATCCGCCCTCCCGCGCAGTGCCCGTTCCCGAACGGTTAACCAGCGGTGGGCGAGCACCCGAACTATTTAAGCACTTCAAACTCTGCCGCAGGTAGCTCAGCGCCGTGGCTTACGGCATCCTCCAGCAGCAGCAGCAGCAGCGACTTCTCGCAAGAGCACGAAAAGCGCCAGGCATCGCCGGGAAAAATGAAGGGCTTTCGCCGGAACGACAACCAGCCGGCCCGGCAGAGCCTGCAGCTCGGGCTCACCCCCACCCCGACCCCACCTTGCTCCGCCGCGCGCCTCCCCCTCCCCGAAACCCGCTTCTACCCCAAGCTCTTCCGCGGGGATCGCTGCCTCCGCGCT